CTTAATAATATCAATCCCACAATATGTTTCAACACAGGTTTATACCAACAAATGGTCCTCCTCGCTATAATCTCTAGAATCATCAAACAAAAATTTGATGAACCCAGGTCCCACTTGGAGAAAGGTTTCACTTGAGCTTCGAGATAGATGGTTTGGAGAGTTCAAGGTAATTTGAATTATAGTTACATTAAACAATGTCATTTCATTCTTATAAATTAAATGTTTGTTGTGTATTTTATTTATGCAGTAAAGAGTATATATGGGATGTGGAACAAGAGCAAGCCATAAGATCTATTTTTTATAAGAAAGGTTCTCGAATTTTAAAAAACTCAATGAACAAATTTAGGAATGGTAAGGATACGGGGATCCGGATACCGCCAACTGTTCGAGCATCTTTGGACTTACATTGGAGTTCTCCAGATTTCCAAAACAAGAGTGCCATTGCCAAGGCTAATCGAGCTGTTGATAAGGGTGCCTCGACTATCGTGGGGGTTCCATATCTACTGCAGCTCACTTTGAGAAGATGGTAAGTTTATTATATTTTTATATAAGTAATTTAATACAATATATTAGACTTTAGGTAATGAATTTTGTCTCATTTTAATGTGTAGACTACGGAGTTTCAACGGGAACCAACCGTTTGGGAGGTTGTTGAGAGGACAAAGAAATTAAAGACTGGACAATGGGTCAATGAAAAAACTCGTTATCTTGTTGTATGTTTAACATCTAAGTTATACTTTATTATTCAATATATGTTTTCTTCATAATAATTATATTTCACTTCATTTTTAGGAACAATATATGTAAGCGCGAGAGAAGAAGTCCATCAACATAACTTGCGTGAAGGCTCATCTTCACAAGAGTCTCCTATTGTCTCTATTGATGATAATGAAATATACATTTCGAGTTGTTGGAGGTGAAAATAAAAAAGGAAATGTGTATGGACTTGGTACATTGAGCAAAAAGTTCACTACTACATCAGGTTCTCAATCTTCTATTACTCAAACTCCAGTACTTCATCAAATTGAACAAATGCGTGAGACTATTAAAAAGTTAAATGCTGAATTGGTGGCAAAGCATAATAAGGAGAAGACACTTCAAGAAGAGATGCAGGAGTTGAGGAACAACCAACGCCAACAAGATGAGTAGATGAAGCAGATGCAGCTTATTTTACAACATATTCAAATGAATAGTCATCCTACTACAAGTCAACATGATACTGACAATATCCTAGTTACATTAAGACTTTGAATGTTGAGTAGTTGTTTAGAAACATTTTATTTCTGTTATGACTTTGAATTGTTCTTATTATGATTTGAATAATTTGACTTTAGTTTTTAAGTTTTCATTTGTGTTTTGTTTGGATCAATTAAGCAGGTACAAATTTTGCAAAATTGGATATACAAAATTTTAAACGAAAATTTTCAGATTTGGTTAGATTAGCGACCGAATTTTTGGTCGTTACAAATATATTATAATAGCGACCGATTTAGCGACCGATTTAAATTAGTATTTAAATAATTAAATTAATATATTAGCGACCGAATATATTGGTCGCTATTGTTTTACACTTTACCACCGATTTAGCGACCGATTTATTATATTAAATTCGGTCGCTATTTTTGCGACTGATTTAGCGACCGAATATATCGGTCGCTATTTCGGTCGCTATTTTGGTCTTCATGTAATAAGTAACCAAATTATTTAGCGACCACATTAGCGACCACCTTATCGGTCGCTATTTTGCGACCAAAATGTAAATCGGTCGCTAACAAATTAGCGACTTGACCTTTTGCGACGAACCATTTCGGTCGCTAACAGAATAGCGACCTATTTTTTGCCATTAGCGACCAATTTTTTCGGTCGCTAATAGTGGTTTTTCTTGTAGTGTTATCACCTTGAGTGGTGGTTTCCGATCACACTGGTGGGCTGAAGGCCATCACTACAGCGAACCGTACCTGCTACCCACTCCCTATGGATTTCTCACTTGCCCCCGGGTATAGAGGGAACTGTTGTGTGCAAAGGTTTGTGTACAGTTTTTATTTCAAATAATTGCATAAAAATAAACAAACAACAGTTATTAAAGCCAAGTATTTAAAACATGTTATAATATAAGGTAGGGTAAAAGCGTAATTTCTTAGTTTATTTATTAAGCTGGCCCATCACTAAATGGGATCAACTCTCTAGGCTTCTCCAGTGGAGTCGCCATCTGTCGCCGCCGTCAAAAAGAGGCGGTCGGAGCTACGCGATGGTTCCAACTTTCCGTTTTTCGCATTTTTATGGGTATTGTTACAACGCCTTTAGGTTGTCCAATAACCGGGCTGAACCTAGGGGCGAGGTTTTCGAAAATGTGTTCTTAGGTTGTCCGATAACCGGGCTAACCTAAGAACTAATTTGAAAGGGTTCTTATGGAGTCGCCACCGATGTTTTTACCGGAAACATCGAAAAAGGAGAGAAAAGGTGTTGGTTTTCAAAAACCAACTTTGGTCATTAAAACCAGAGTTGGGTAAGGGAGTTAGTTACGTATAAGGGAAGTATTAGTTCCCTTACGGCGCCCCTTTCGGGTTCCCTATGATAGGCCAGCTATTTTATAAATAAACTTTTGAAAAGACGCTTTTACCCTTTTATTTGCGGAATTAAAATAATGACTACATGGTCCTAATGTCTATTACGCAATTTAATCATAAAAATAAAGACAGTAAAAGAGAGGGAAAGAATGAAGAAACCTCCGAGGCAAGCTTTTGATTAATTTTCTTGAAAGTAAGGTGCGTTTTGGCAGCCCTTCGCTCTTACAACACCGAAAACTCTCTCGAAACGCTATAAAAAGCTCTCTAAGACTCTCAGAAACTCCGGAAATGCTTCGGAGGGACTCTAGGAAGAGAATTTGAAGAAAGTGTAGAAGGGAAAGTGGAAGAATTGTGTGAAATGAGGGGAAGAGTGCTCACTATTTATAGGAATTCGCGTCTGTCAAGTCGAGACGGCCGTCTCGCCATTCGGGACGACGGTCTTGACTTGGAAAAGTGGCGAGACCGCCGTCTCACTAAACGAGACGTCGATATCGACTTTCCCAATGACGAGAAGGCCTTCTCGCCAAACGGGAGGGGGGTCTCGCCATTGGCAAGTGGCAAGACGGCGGTCTCGCCAAACGAGACGACGGTCTCGACTTGCGCCGATGGCAAGACGACGGTCCTTAAAAACAAGACGGCGGTCTCGACTCTTAAGGGCGAAAATCCTTATTTTTATACAAAAAATCCTTCCTACTCTAACATGGAGCCCAATAGTCTCTCCTAGTGGCTTTTTAGGCTTCGTCCATCTTCGAATAGGAGGTCTTCTGCTCTTATTTTGAGGCCGGGCAAGATTTGGGGTCTACATTGGTCATTTTTTCCAAAGTAGTCTCCCATCAATCTACAACATTACACAACAATTAAAACAAAAATATATGAATGAAACCTTATGCATAAAATGCAAATACTCCCCACTTTTAAAATCAACGTTATCTTCAATGTGGAGAATTTATGTTATGCAAATATACAAATGTAAATGAAAACCAACTAAAACAGATTGAGTTTCGGGTCTATCTTGTCAGATGGTACAGGTGTTGAGGTCATCAAGTAACAACTTAGTTCAGCTAAAACAAAGAAAGTGTTCTTCTGTAGTAAATTAAAAAGAGTCAATGTCACATTTTTGAAGTATCAAATAATTCTTCGATAAAAACATTATAATCTCTTAATCATTTGATTTATGAATGGAAATGGAAATGGAAATGGAAAGTGATCCTTCCGCAAAATAATTATCCCACTCTTCTTTGAAATAACTTGGACAATTAATACCCAAACATAATCTAAAATAAGACATATAATGTCAGGCTTCAATAATTAAAGACTTGATCATGACGAAAGAACATAGATAGTGTACAACTATCTATTGCTTCTTTAAAAAGTATTTAAGAGTATTTTTTTTTTCACTATCTAAAATTATTTTAGACATTTCTTTAACATCTTTTATCTTTTTACTCTCGTTTTAAACTGAATTTTGATATATTCATATATCATTTTCTAAACGTCCATCACTATGTACTGCCACAACTGTATACTCGTCAGCATTGCAAAATCACAATGGCTATTCTCTAGGTAGGGGTCTAGTCTTTTTTGTTTTTTGTTTCTTTTCCTCTCGTCCTCACAATCAAATGTAGCATGACATTTTGATGGAACGATGATCAGTCACGATTTTTATGGGTATTTCTCATTGATTTAATGAAGTTAGCGTAGTTGTTTACAAAGCTAGGAAGCACTGGCATATAGATCTGTTTATATAGTTGGTAGGGCATGTTTCAATCTCCAGTGAACTATTCATAGAAATATCTTTTGGAGCCATCATTGCATAATGGGGTCTATTTTTATTAGCTTTATGTACATTTCCTTCACTTTGCATTTTGTATTAAAACACTAAATCATCTTAATTATATATTATGAAAAATTAAATAATAAAACTTTGAAAATAAATTTTTAACTTATTGCTAAGAGTTTTGATGAGTTTCAAGCATCGATATTTCAAAATAACTTAACAGAGAAGCATACTTGCACCTGATTTACTAGATCTGGAAACGTGAGGCCAAAAAAAAAACGACGTGAGAGTTCATCCCTATATATAATTATCCACTACAATTAAGCATGTTGTAAAAAAAAGTGGTCTACAACAATACTGAACGAAGGTTAATCCAATAAATTACAAAAAATTCAAAATAAAAAAGATTCACATTTCCCAAATTCCAAAGATGAAATTTAAATAAAACAACAGTAAATTTAATAACGTGATTTACAATCTCAAATATCTGTATCAAATCTGTGAGCCTACAGAGCTTGGTTAGTAGCATGATATTTCCTCTTTTTTTCCTATAAATTAATGGAGTGTGGTTTCTTGAATATTCAAAGCAAAGCTTCACTACACACCATCCAAAGCATCCTCCCTCCCTTCAAGTTTGAAGACATAGAAAGGCAATCATGTCTAAAGTAGTATCATCATCATCACTTACAGTTTTCCCCCAGGATGCCAAACCCAACTCAAACTCCACTCGACACACTGCAACTTTTCATCCTTCCATTTGGGGAGATTATTTCCTCTCCTATGATCCTACTTCTGATGTAACTGCATACCCATCCATATGTCTAATCTTCCTTTTTACATCTCGTTTCATTTACTTCATCTATGATTTATTTATGTTCAACATTTGTTTTGGAATAATTTTAGTAGTATACTCACTTTATGATTGTAGTATTCCATCATAATATATTCTTATCAAATTTGACAAAAGAAATATATTCGTAAGTATAGTTCATTTACTTTATCTATGGTGTTAAAGTGTTTGCATCCAAAATCAACAAAATGTTTCTTATGCTGGACTTTTCATAAAGTTACCACTTGCAGGAAGATGATAGCCACGTCAAACAAGTTCCACTTTTGAAAGAGGATGTGAGGAAGATGATTGTCTCTCCTGTTGATTACAGTTCCCTTTTTAAATTAAACTTCATCAACTCAGTCCAACTTTTGGGCGTTTCTTATCATTTTGAACATGAAATTGATGAAGCACTGCATCAAATTTATGAGATTGCAACGAAGGACAATAACATCATAAGTCACGATGATGATCTTCATCATCTGGCTTTACTCTTTCGGTTGCTTAGACAACAAGGATATCGTATTTCGTCAGGTATGTCTTCACTAGTACTGCACCAAATTTACGCTTTAGAAACCAAACATTTATCTAACTCACCATCATCATCATCATCTTCAATTCCTCGTTTGTGTTTACACTTTGCACAGTATGTTATAACATTGGATTGCATCAGTATGGCCTAGTTTCGATCGAGAAGTGTCGTATAGTCATTATATAGTTAAATATATAACTTGATATTTAACAAATGTTATTTTTTAACTGAACAGATGTATTTTGCAAATTCAAGGACGAAACTGGAAACTTTAAGGAAAGCATAGTGAATGATGTAGAAGGAATGTTGAGCCTGTATGAAGCAGCCCAATTAAGAATCCATGGAGAAGAGATACTGGAAGAAGCATATAGTTTTACTCTCATTCAGTTAACTCGGTCATTAACCACCAAATTAAGCCCCTTTCTCTCTGGGTTAGTGCACCATAGCTTAGCACAGTCACTTCGCAAGGGAATGCCCAGGTTGGAGGCAAGATATTATATATCTTTGTACCAAGAAGATCCCTCACATAATGAAAGTTTGTTAACCTTTGCGAAACTAGATTTTAATATGTTAGAGAAGCTCCATCAAAAAGAAGTCAGCAATGTGACCAAGTAATATTTTCATCCAAAAGTAACTTCTTATTAAATGAAATATGAATAAATAATCATAGTCTATAACACCTCTTTGAGAAATTAATTTGGGATTTGGTGTTCAGGTGGTGGATTAAAGATTTGAATGTGTCAAAAAACTTTCCTTTTGTACGAGATAGGATTGTGGAAGTATGCTTCTGGATTTTAGGAGTGTACTATGAGCCGCAATATTGTCTTGCTAGAGGGATAATGATGAAAGTATTGGCCATAACATCCATCATTGATGATGTGTATGATGCCTATGGAACCATTGATGAGCTGAAGATTTTGACCAATGCAATAGAGAGGTCAGAGACTTAGTTATATATACTAGTACCTTTTTACTCCAATTTTTTAAACAAAGTTGAATTCAACTTTGTTATGATTCGCAGGAAGGATATCTCCTCATTGGTTAATCTCCCAGAATATGTGAAGTTATGTTATGTCGCACTTTTTGATGTTTTTGAAGAAATACAGAAGGAGTTGAGAAAGCAAGGAAAAGAGTTCTTCGTCAAGTATGCTGAACAACAAGTATGGTTTTTTGTTTTTGTTTTTTATTTTTTTTAAATTGTTACTCATAAAATCAATTTTTTTTTCTAATTAGAAAAAAAAAACAAATTACATAAAATTTCATATTAAATACCTAAGTTATTTGGTGATAATATTTTGCATTTGAAATGTCGAGTTTTTTAATTTTCTAATTAATATTTGAATTATTTGAAAACTTCAGAAATGGATCGTTGATTAATGTACGGTTAACACTAGAAATAATTAATTGTACATAAAAATGTGTTTGTCTTCTTCTGCTAGCTTTAACAACTCCATATGATCAAAATCTATTTCTCGCAGAAGATTCGGATTGACTACAATGTTGCAATTGGTAAAACATTCATTGTCCAATTATAAAAACTCTCGAATTCACAGAATAAGATATGTGATTTAGTTTGACCTTACATGAAAATTGGACAATATCTTTTGATTGTGGATTGAGGGTGAACACATACAAGATAATATAATTTGTTCTTTTAGCTTAAACTTAAAATCTTTAATGAAAATATACCAATTTATATGGCAGAAATAAGGCATACTTTTAGTAGACCTAAATTTGGTCTGCAGTAAAAACAAAACCTAAATATGTATTTACATGATGCTGATCTCTTTTAAAGATTCAACCTGACTTGCATTGCATATAAGTCGTATATGACTTATAAATCTCTTTTTAAGAGTTTTCATAAGTCTTTAAAAGATTTAATTGATTTATAGTATTTTGACATATATAATAGGCTATAATTAACATAATATATATATATATATATATATATATATATATAATAACATAATAAATTATTTATTTAAAATTTAGTTTGTAATGAGAACCTAACAGAAATATAAAATTTATTTGTCAATAATCTTATAAGTCTGATTTCTTTTTTATATCGGTCAACATACTTATTTATTAAGAAAGATAAATAATATGACTTTTATACATTATAAAAAATTAATATAAGAATACTAAAAAAGCATTATTTATGTTTATTTAAATAGGTTGTTCTGTTAGGTTTAAAACCATCGTAGATCCTTAGGTAATCTAACATATTTTCAGTCTTGTAACAAAATATTCTTGTGAGCAACTAAAAGTATATGAAACAAAACTCTTGTCATATATTTGTATTTTTAATTCTAGATGAAAAGACTAGTCCAAGCGTATCTTACTCAGGCAACATGGTTTCATCACAACCACACACCAACCGTGGAGGAGTACATGGAAGTTGCGAGTATGTCGAGTGGTTTGGCTATGTTGACATCTGTATCTTTCTTGGGCATGGAAGACACAACAGAGGAGGCCCTCATATGGGCAACGAGTAACCCTAAATTGATTGTAGCTGCTTCAACTATTGGTAGGCTCACTAATGACATTGCTGGAAGTGAGGTACATCTTAGACACACATTGCTTTATATTTTAGTTGTTAGGATTCATGTAAAATTTGTTATGCAATATTATGCAGTTTGAGCAAGAAAGAGGACACGTTGTCTCAAGCCTTGATTGCTATGTGAAGCAACACAATACCTCAAGGCAAAACGCCATTAAAGAACTGCTTAAGTTGATCGAGAGTGCTTGGAAGGACATTAATGAACAATGCCTTAATCCTACTCAACTTCCAATCGCTCTTCTTATGCGTGTTCTGAACCTTGCGCGCACGACGGATGTGATTTACAAAGATGGAGATCGCTATACAAATTCAGGAGGAATAATGAAGGATTACATCAAAGCTTTACTAGTTAATAAGATCCCTATATAAATAAGATAAAAGCTTATATCTTTTATTTATTATTGTTGAGTTTCTTGAATTTATCTTACATGATGCTTTGTCTTTTAATTATCATATTTTTAAAAAGTATCAATTGAAAATAATTAATCAAAATACTTTGTCTTGGTGAATAAACTATCATTCTACATATATTATAACAACTACCGTTTTTATGTGAGTACAACGAAAAAATAATTAATCAAAATTATTTCCAAAAGTGTGATTTACTTCCTTATATAATAAAGTAATTCTTTTGTACTTGAATTGAGAAATAATTAAAAGGATCTATGAAAAAGTTTTCTAATATATGTCACTTTATTCTATATTTCTTTATCTAAGAACATTTTTTAAGTTAATTATTTTATTCATAAACCATGCATTTAACATCTTTTCATTAAAAGTAAAATATAATTCAATTTTTCTTAATTTGTTGTATTTTATATAGTTTTAGCATAATAAACAATATACATATATACATCTACATTGCATATTTCTTTTTTCTTCTTTTGTAGGAGAGGTAATTTGAGATGGACTAAATTGATATACAGAAATGTTCAAATTGATGTCGTCAAACTTCACTCTTCTTGGAAGTCCAAGTTTGCTTGTACAACTTTACAAATGAAAAATTTGAATCAAACAAATTTACTAGTGCGAGAATCCAATTTAGTTGAACTAAAGGCTAACAGGAATAAAGAATTAAATGCAAATCAGTGCTAGATCACTCAAATAGGAAAGAATCCAAATCAGTCCCAACAAATTTCTTTTCACAACAATCAAATTTTGCAATTATTTATTTGAGAAATATTTGATTTTATTTTAATTAATTTTATGTTTAATTTCTCTTGTTCAAACTCTTATAAATAGATGTCTTACGACAACACACAATCACAATCTCTTAACTTGGGGTAATAATTGTTATTTTATCTCGTCCTCATTTTCTTTTCCTATTCTCAGTTCATAGTTTAGTTTTTAGTTAGGTGAGTTCATCTACTGCTACTGCACTTATGATTTGTTCTCTTTTATTTAATTTACAACTTCTATTGAACTTTCCAGTTTATATTGTTCTAGTTATTTTATTTATTTAGTGCTCATTTAATTTTTGCTATTTAATTGTTTAGAATTTTTATTTCGGATCTGCATAATTTTCATTTTTAATTCATCTCATTTTCAATTCCAATTAGCAATTTAGTTTTAGAGTTATCACTCTCAAAAATTTCAAATTTAGTTATTGCACTATTTTATATGAAAACAATTATTGATTGTTGCACTCGTTAATTAAAAACTCTTTATTTTAATTTCATAAATTTCAGTTATTTAAATTACTGCATCAATTTAATTTTAATTATTGCTTTATTTTGTTTTAAAGCAATTTTTTATTCCTGTAATTTAATTAAAAGTACGTTATTTTTATTTTATAAATTTCAGTTATTTAAATTTTGTTTCCGTTTAATTTTAATTGTTGTTAATATTCTATAGCAATTTGATTTTAATTTTTATTATTTTGCATCAATTTATTTCTTTTTCACTCTTTCATTCACCTCATATTTACTATTATTTACTGTTTTAGAGAGAATGATATGTGATAATGAGTATGTTCCTATAATTGTGCCATTGTGATATTCGACATGGGTTAGTTATATTGCATTTGTTTAACAACTTGTTATTATCTTTTATTAGTATTTTGTACGACCAAAATTCTGTTATCAAATGGTGCCGTTGTCGGGGACACAATTGTATTGCGTAACATTGTCTAATATCATTTTTTTCTAATTTTCTTTTTCTAGCTTTATTTTTAAAAAAATTCTCTAAAGCTTTTATAATTTGTTTTCGTGAGCTCCCTAACCATTCTTGCAGGAAATTCTAGATATGGTTTTCTTGTAGGAAATTCTTGATAACCACTATTGTAGGAAATTCTGGATATAACTTGATAGTGTAAGGGTACATGTCTAGGAGGGTTCTGGCTAAGAAAGACTTGATACTTAAACGTGTCTATTAGTAACTCACCTCTCTTTCTTGGGAACCTACCTGGTGTACTTATTCACGATCTACTATTTGTATTCCAGTAGGACCTTTAATAGTGCATGACCCGAGCAAAGAAAGGCGAGTCACATATATTGGATCCTGAAATTGAAGTTACCTTCAAGAGATTGAGAATATTAAAGAGGTGGTGGGGGCTACAAGAGAGAAAGAGAGAAGCAGTTGAAAAATCTAATCATGAAAGCAATGAGGGGGAGATTGATGACAATGTGAAATATGTACCTACATTCCCAAGAGATGATTTTGATGATGATTCATGTCAACAACATTCAAGACTTAAGCAAGCCCAAGATATGATTATTCAAACCATTCAAGATTCAAGCAAGCCCAAGATGATTCCTAAATACTAGATAGAGTCTTAGAATACTGGATATGGAGGTACAAGTTGATGAAGTGGTATTATGCATAAACATCCAAAGCACAAGTGTGATAAAATTTCAGAACATGACATTTTTTACTGTCATAATCGATTTTGATGCATCATAAATGGAAAAACGATTTTTTCTCTGTCATAATTAATTATAAACATAATCAATTATGGTAGTTCAAATTTGAAAATATATCCGTTTTGAATAATAAATGAGTTTTGAGAAAAGAATTCTAAGTAAGGCAACCAAACACTTTTAGGTTTTCTGAGAAAACTTTTTCATATTGCCTTCTTTACTTTCATTTTAATCACACTTGTTCTTGGAGGTTGGCATTCTACAGGCTTCTACAATTTGATGTCTCAATTACTAGGTGTGACTATTCTTATTTTATTGATTGTGTTATTTAGGACTTTCAGAGTGGGAACTGTTCATCCCTTGATTTGTTCAGGGAGGTGCTCTTCCCTTGATTGGTTTAGGGAAGGTGTTTCATCCTTAATTGGTTTAAGTTAATCAATTGTGTTATTCTATTGTTCATCCTTAGTGGGATTCTAAGGAGGTGTTTTCATCCCTTTGATTTGTTCGGGGAGGTGTTCATCCCTAGTGTGATTCTAGGGAGGTGTTCATCCTTAGTGGGATTCTAAGGAGGTGTTTTCATCCTTTGATTTGTTCAGAGGAGGTGTTTATTCCTAATGAGATTTTGGGGAGGTGTTCATCTTTAGTGGAATTCTAAGGAGGTGTTTGTCTTTTGAATTAGTTTTTTTTTACTGGTTCCTTTGCTGAGTTGATTGTAATTTTTAAATTGAATTTGAAAGATAGTGAATTAGACTCACTCTTGTGATTAGAGTTGACTGAGAACTAGATGTAGGGTTGACTATACCCGAACCAGTATAAATCTCTGTGTGATCTTCTCTTTCCTATACTGCCCTTCTTTTCTCTATATTTTTATGCTTGAATCGTTCTCTTTATCTATCTTATTATATAACTTCCACTTTATTTGTGTTCAAACTAAATTTAACAAATTATTGACATCACAAATAAATTTTAATTTGACATCTATTTTAATTTGTGCATCTATTCACCCTCACCCCTCTAGATGCCATTTGTCTAACAAGTGGTATCAGAGTTTGGTTAGATAAGATATTTCTAAACGATCAGTCAAGATGTCTATGCAAAATCAGGTTTACAGGGAAGGAGCCTCAATAAACAGACTACCATTATTTGAAGGAGAAGACTATCAGTTTTGGAAGGCGAAAATGAAAATATTTTTACAAATACTAGATTACGGTGTTTGGGATGTTGTACTCAACGGTCCCTACATTTCGATGAAGACAACGAAGTTTGGAGTTGTTCCAAAGACTTTTGACCAATGGACGCTGGCTGAAAACAAGTGTGCCCAATATGATGTAAGAGCCTGAAACGCTATTGTTTCTACCTTAACTCGTAATGAATTTTTTAGGATCTCACAATGCAAGAAGACAAAAGAAATATGGGACACTCCGGATGTGACACATGAAGGAACCAATGAAGTAAAGAGAGCACGTAAGAACACATTCATCCAGGAGTATGAATTGTTTCAAATGTAGCAGAATGAAAACATCACGGATTTCTAGACACGCTTCACATATATAGTAAATCACTTGAAAGCATTAGGAAAAAGTTTTGACAATGAGGAGTTGAAAACAAATATCTTGAAATCCTTAGACAAGAATTGGCAACCAAAGGTCACTGCTATTACAGAATCAAAGGATCTCACAGAAATGAATATTGCTACTCTATTTGGAAAGTTGCGAGAGCATGAGATCGAATTACAAAGGTTAAAGAACAGTGAACATAACCAAACCAAGACGATAGTTCTAAATGCAGTAAAAACTTCACAGGATGAAAGTGAAAATGAAGGTAAGTTTTCAAATTCCGATATATCTCTTTTTGTTAAAAAGTTTACTCGATTTATGAAGAACAGGAAAAATGGACAACAAAGAAAGGAGAAAACCAATAGGTACGAGTGTTGTGGACGTGGAAAGCTTGGCCATATCAAACCAGACTTTACAGAACATAAGAAAGAGAAGAAAGATGTTAAAGAGAATAAGAAAGAGAAGAACAATATCTATAAGAGCAAACACAAAGCTTATATTGCTTGGGAGGATAATGATTCTTTCACAACACAAGAGAGTTCTTTCGAAAATAGTGATGGAGAAGAAGAAGCAAATCTTTACTTGATGACAAAAAGTGATGATGAAGCCTCATCACAGGTAAGTAGCACAAAATCCTTAAATGCATATGATGAGTTGCATGAAGCATATCAAGAAATGTATGAAGGTTTTAACAAGTTAGCTAAGAAATACACTGCACTTAAACAAAAGTTTCAAGCATTAGAAAATACTGTTGGTATTCTTGAAAAAGAAAATGAGTGCTTAAAGAAAGATGTTGAGAAATTTAAAACTTTGGCTAAAGATAAAGAAGTAGCTCATCCTTGTGAAAATTGTAATCATTTTGAAAATGAGATTTTCAAGTTAGAGAAATTATGAGCAAGTTTTCAAAATCTTTTGAAAATCTTGATTCTATATAAGGGTATCAAAGAGGGGATTC